GGACAGAGTATCTGCAGAATCGAGGAACTCCAGGAAAACGTGGTCCCCAGGCACAGCCTCAGTGAATCCTGATAACTGGAACGTGAGGTGATGTTGGGAAATGGAGCTGCACAATATGTATTTGCTGAAAGGACTGACACAGAGCAGAACCCAAGAGGAAGGACAAGGAAGAGAAAAAGTGAAACCCAGGACTACCTGACTTAGAAGACAGATGTTATTTTTACTGAGCTAGAAAATACAGGAAAAAGAGGTAAAAGGATGAGTTCAATTTTTTTAAAAAAACTAAGCTGAAATAGCTATGCAACATCTAAAAGATATATGAGCCTAGAGCTGAAGACTGGGATGGAAGAGAGAGGCGGGTTTGGAAATTGCCACAATACACTGGGAAACCTAGGGAAAGAAAAAGAGATGAGACCAGGCAGAGGGAGGAGTATGAAAAACAGGCAGGGTGGAGATGGGATCTGGGGAAGGAGCAAAGCAGAAAATAAAGGGGACAGGTCAGTAAAAATGATCAAGATGCAGCACGTATATGCACTAATTACCCAAGATAAACGTAATTATTATGTTTCATAAACATATACTACTAATAAAAAATAAAACAAAAAACTCATAGAATTCGAAGAGAAGCAACATTTAAAAGCAATCACAAGCCACAAGTGCTTCTGAGAGGCAAAGTAACAGGATGGACTGGAAACGCATTTTATTTGAAAATTACATACCTATCTGTGACCTTAGTAAGTTCTATTTCGGTACTGGAACAAGTCACAAGGAAACAGTCTGCAAAGTAAATGAGAGACGAGTAATGGGGGACAGGAATACAGAACGCTCTGGGTGGAAACTTGGTTCTAAACCCAACATAACAGAAGTGGACAATGAGACAGAGATCTTTCATGTTACTTTTTCTTTTTTGGGATGCAAGACTTAAAAATATTAATGTGTCTAATTCTCTGAACTTTTATTTATTTACATAAAAAATGAAGAAAATAATGTCCTGTCTGCATGGCCCTTCAGGTTGTCATAACAAATAAGATGACGTACGTGAAAGATTCCAACAGTAAGCCAAGGTTATTATGCACTTATAAATGTTCAAAGAACAGAGGCACAACATGAAGAACTCCGTGAAATATTGTTAGCTATAAACAGGTGACAAATTATGATCAGTTAAGACCTAGAAATAATGATCTAAAAGGTCCCTTTAATACACACTACAAGTTGCTGACGCCAAACCTTGAAGGCTAACATTTTAAAGCCTCATGCTGGACAATTCCTATGTGTAGACTGTAGCTTGGGTTTTCAGAGGTCTTCATTATGCCAGAAAAAAAAGTGCCAATGAACCTTGGCAGATCACTGGGCATTAAGTCATTTGGGAATTTATTAGTCTTATGAGTAGTAGTTCTTAAACAAAGATTTCTGGCAACCTCGCGGTTTCACAAAGCAACAGACTTGCTCCATAATTTAAGTCTCATAACCAGTGAAATCATGGCAAATGGCCACTGCCTGCTGTGTGTGTGTTATACCAAGGAGTCACGGAGGTATTCTGGGAAGTTAGCAGCCATCCCAGGACTTTTCTCCTGGGAAGCGGAACCATCCAAAAGAATATGGGCCAATCATGATTTCACTAGTGTGAAACCAGCAAGTTTATTTTTAGCACTGTGACACCAGAGTGACTAGGTATTCTCTCATAAATCCCTGATGAGTGGTTTTTAATATACCTCATCTTCCTTCCTTGGGAAGACATCTTACCCCTGTAAGGGAAAAATGTCTCTTTCCCTTTCTCTGAAATTTGTACAACTCCTCTCACAGTGAGTTTCTCAGATGCTGGTGTCTTCCTTATTTATGTCTTTTTTTAGTGTGCAAGTTAAGGTCAAACATCTGTGTCTTTACAAAACTTTTCTTTATAACAGGTAATAAAATTGAGCCTTCAGTCACAAATGAACCCTATCTGCAGTTATTTTGGCTTTTGAATATTTTTAATCTTGGAACCAAGCTACAAAACTAAGATGGTGCTTCTTTTATCTATGTTTTTAAAATATTGTATTCTTAATGCACACTGTTACCACACATAGCTATTAAAACAGGTCAAAGGTCTACAGGTCCTGTTTTTGACATTTTATCCATCGCAGTACAAAATTTCATCCTAGGACTAAAATTCAACAAAGCTCTTTGGTCTACCACCTACCTGAGAAGCTAAAACAAGACAATCACTTGAGTCCAAAACTTCAAGGCCAGCCTAGTAAACAAAGCAAAGCTTTCCACAAAAAGAAGTGTTCACCTCTTATAAAGACAGACAAATACATGACACAAAAGCAGAAAAATCAATACTATTCCTGTACACCAAAAATGAACCTACCAAGAAAGAAATCAGGAAAATAATTCTATTTACAACAGCTTCAAAGAAAAAGAAAGACTTAGAGATCAACATAAACAAGGAGGTAAAAGAAGCATTTTACAGTGAAAAAGTGAACTGATGTATTTTACAATGTACTTTTCAACAATGAAATTACAAAACACCAAAGAAAGAAATTGTGGAAGACATTAGAAAAATGGAAAGACATCTATCTCATTCATGAATAGGAAGAACTATTGTGAGAATATTAGCAAAAGCAATGCACAGATTTGATGCAACCCCTATTAAAATACCACAACATTCTTTATGAAACTAGAAAACAATCTTGAATTACATATGGAATCAGAAAAGACCAGAGTGCCCGAAGTAACCCTGAGTAAAAAAGAACAATGCCAGAAGCATCATAATGCCCAATTTCAAATTATACTACAAAACTTCAGTAATAAAAATGGCATACTACTGTTACAAAAACAAGAGTAGAATAATGAGAAGACACAAAAACAATCCCATGTTTCTATAGCCATTTGATTTTTGAAAAACAAACATATTTTGGAGAAAAGACATCTTTAACAGACGGTGCTATTTAATAAACATTAGATATTTACTGGCAGAAGAGTAAAGCTAGATCCCTCTCACCCTATACTAAAATCAATGCAAAATGAATCAAAGCCCTCAGTATAAAAGCAGAAAGTTTGAAACTGCTGGACAATAGCATAGAGGAAACATTTGAAAGCTATAGGCATAGGCAAAGATTTCCTGAGTGGAAATCCAATAGCATAGCAAATAATATCAAGAATCAACAAATGGAATTGTCTCAATAAAAATCTTCTGCACAGTAAAAATAAAATCTACAGAGTGAAGAAACAACCTACACAATAAGAGGGGAAAATTGCTAGCTGCTCTTTTAATAGAGGACCAATATCTATTATATAGTGAAAATCTTGTCTCTGAGTAAATGATTTGGGGATGACAATGTACAATGTATGTATCATTGTTACCCTGATTGATGTATTTTAAAATTCTGTTGTAATTTTTCTTCTTCTTCTTTTCTTTCTTTTATCTATGAATAAAATATATTTGAAAAAAGTAATATATAGAAAGAACTAAAAAAATTAACCTCTGAAAACAAATGACCCAAGGGAAAAAATTTGGCAAGCAAACTGAACGGATACTTCTCAAAAGAAAAAGTACAAGTGGTCAATACGTGTTTGAAAAAATGTTCAACATCTTCAGGAGTTAGAAAAATTCAAATCAAAACAACTTTGAGATTCCATCTTATTGTAGTCTTGTTTTAGTCATCAAGAACACAAAAACAATGAATGTTGGTATTGTTAGTGGAAATATAAACTTGTACAAGCACTACAGGCAATCAGTATGGATATACTTCAAAAAACTAAAACTAAAAATAGGATACTATTTGATCCAGCTATAACTCTCCTGGGTATCTTTCTGAAAGTATTAAAGACACCATGTCATAGTGTTACTTGCATATCCATGTTTATAGGGGCACAGTTCACAATAACTAAACTCTGGAAACACCCCAGATGGCTATCAACAGATGAATTGATAAAGAAAATCTGAATATATATTCAAATAGGAGGAATATATGCTAGAGGAAAATGAACAGAACTTGAGACAAGTATACTAAGCTAAAAAAAAAAAAAAAAAAAGCCAAACTCAAAAAGTTAAATATCACATGTTTTTGCTCATATGAGAAGCATAAAATATTAATTAATTTATTAAGGAGAGACAACAGAAAACTAGGCAGACTGTTAGAAACAGAGGATTAGGAGGAGGAGAAAGAAAAAAGAGGGAAATGAAGGGATCAGAAATGAACAAGACGTGTTATGTACGTGTACCAATTCACCCAAAACATCACTGTTCTGTGTTACAAATATACACTAACAAAAAATAAAACAAGGAAAAAGGAAGAATTTGATTAACAATAAAGTAAAGAAAACACTAATGGCATCACCTCAAACAGGATTACAAAGAAAGCATGTCTTCCACTGTCCTCAAACACCACTGCCAGGTATTTACACCGACCTTTACAGATTCTCAAGTACCTTTATAAGTTTACTTTGTTCAATCTTAATGGTATTCATATTTATTCTTTATCATTGCTCATCAGTAGAAGAGAATTATGAGGCCCAGAGAGTTTAAGAAACACTAACGCTGTTCACACGGTTGTTGAGGAGCACAGCCAAGTCTATATCCAAGGTCTTCTAGCACTTCAGTGCTTTCTGCTGCACCATAGATGGTCCCCATCATGTTAACGACTCTATTTTTATTTCATTCCTCTAGCAACATGGAAAACAGTCTGGTTTTCTCTGAAGTCATTAGGAATCTTTGATGAAACACAGACGTGAACTCAGCTCTCCCTCCAATGAAAATACACAATACATTAGTTATATAAGGAATGTTACGGGATCACTGTGGATGTGGAAAAGTTTTAAAGGAATGCATAAATGATGCCTGGGACACTTACAGGGCCAAAGAAGATATGACAAACAAATGACCAAATATAGAATGAAGGGAAATTCCATAAAAATCAGTATTTTCATTTGAATGGTTTGTTTTTATTCCATACGGACTTCTCTTTTGTGGAAAATCCTGGTTTTTTAGAAGATTTCAAACAAACACGATAACCAACCTGTAGATGGAGAAGGAAGCCACTGATCGGATGAGGGAGGCCAAAGCCCCCACCTTGGCAGCCTCCACTGCCCCCCGGACTCGGTACTGCACTGTCTTCGCGTAGCTGATGTAAGGTTGGTTATAAACAACAATCTTCCCTCTTGCTTCCGAGGCCCTTCTCTGCAGCTCATCGAAAGAGGCCACCACCAGAACTCCGGCTGTAATGCCTAGAAATAAAAGTCAAACAAGAATTAACTTATGGTTTCCTATCAGCCAGGTGGAACTGGCACACAAAAGTTCACATATGCTCTGCCTGCTGCATCTGGCAAACTGGCTTGAGAAGATCAAAGTCTCCGAGCCACTTACCATGGGAGAAAGACTGTGGGGTTAACTGCTTTCCCAACAGGAAGAAAAAGGATTCAAAACAGTAAAATATGCAACTCAAAGTTTTTTTTAACTCACTTGACCGGCTGGTACTAAATCACAAATTGATTAAACAAAAGCTTCTTTTTTCTGATTTCTCACCCAAAGAACTTACAAATTTCACACAATGACATTAATCATCTATGTCTTAAACATGCATGTTAGAAAGACCCTCTTGGATTAATAAAATACACACATCTTTCACAATAATAGTTCAATATGATGCTAAACAACCTTCAGTGATGTGATACAAAGTATGGCAGTTTGTGAAGAATACTCTTGGAGGTCAATGTTCTTCATAAATCCAACTATAACAAATAGTTCACGTAAATTCTCCCAAGAACCACAAAGGATCAGCCTGGAGGTTTGATTTTTTTTTTTCCTATATAAAAACACTCTTCAGGGATGTGGAAACTTCCTATGCATCTCAATTTGATTTTTCAAATAAAAAAATCTGAACATGTACAATTGTCCTAAAATCCTGTCACCTACCTTAGATGCGTCTGCTTCCTCCCTGCCTCAAGGTTCACCCAAAGGCTCCTGATTAGAGGAGAGGTTTACATCTTCTAAGAACTCCTGCAAAACTTCCTGGGCCACCAAACATCCAATTCAATAGAGTAGGGTGACAAAGAGAAGCTATTTAGTAGCAAAGGCCAAATGGCTAAATCAATCCGAGAGAAAGCAGTCAGTGCCTACTATTTTGTGGCTTTAGCTGTGCACTCACGAAATATATTAGTAAAACTGAAGAATCAATGTGTATTTGTCATACTTCTTTAGGATTATAAACTAGAGAACTAGATTTTTTTATCTTAAAGCTTAATGGGTGCCATTAAATTTTAAACTGTTACATAGAATTCTTTTAAAACTGTGTCAGGTAGTAGAGAATACTTGTTTTAATACAGGCCCCATCAGCATGAACCCTTTGCCTCCTCTCCTGTTCTGCTCCCCTGTCCAGCTTGGTTTGTACTTTTACTTCACCGTGATCAGCCACAAATCTATAAGCACATCTCCACTAATATTCAGGATTTGGGACTTAATTTATATTATTCCCTCCTTCAAAAAAAAAAAAACCACCAGTGTATAATTATGGAAAATAAGGAAATTACAGTATTTCTATATGATAAATATGCATAAAATATAAATAAGGATTCATGACTCTCTGAAACCTGCAGTTACCTTGAAATTTGACTGGTGCTATTGTTGGCATACTGTAGGAATTTTGATAATGGTGTTCAGCTGTTCCTAATGAATAACATGTTTAACAATCCACCCAAGCGATGTCCCAGCAATGGGGGAATTTTGGTGTCTGGAGCAGAGCCACTAAAAATTTCTGTAAATTTTCAAAATTAAAGTCATAAAGTCATAGGAGGGTGGTAGCTCACTGTGGTCTACATTCAGGTTTTTTAGCACATGAGAGACTGGCATCCCGAAGAACTAAAATCAACCTGGACAGCAGAGTTGCCAGTGTGAATCACTAGCAGCAACTACAGGTCAAAGTCTACCACCATAAACTTGGAAGACTTTGAATTAGTCTGTTTTCCTGAAAGTTGAGAATCGTCTCTGATTCCTCTGTCTCTTTCATCCCCCTACATCTAAACAGTCCTCAAACATGAATAATTTCATGCCCTAGACATCAATATTGCTTGGACTCGTGTCCTGTGTTCCATCCCATTGCACTCTCTCACATAGGGTCCCCATGATTTCTCTTTCAGACTCTTGCAAGTCCCTCTCCCCACTCCTGGAGTCCCAGCTTCCAGCCCAGATCCCTCTAATTACCCCCACATAGCCACCTGAGAGGGTGATTGAGAGTCACATCTGCTAACAGCACTGTCACACTGCTACTTTCTCACCCCTACTAAAGTCCCTTTTTCAACCTCCTGTCAAAGCCTGCCTACATTTACAAAACACAGGCTCCCTTTTATTTTGCAATTTCATCAATACTAAACCTAGGAGTTCCCATTCTCATTCTATGCTATCCACTCCATGGTGTCCTTGTTCAGGGGATGGTACATCGCCTCTAACTGACTCCCTTGTGCGAACTTCCTTATGTTACTAACAATTATTTATCACTCAGGAGTCCATTCAACTTCACCACCATCCACTGCCCTCACCCAGACTTTCAGATACCTTGGACATAGCTGGGCACTAAAATAATGAAGCTTTACTTACGATATTCTCTCTCTTCTCTTCTCTCTCTCTCTCTCTCTCTCTCAGTCAAACTGTGATTTCCCCTTAGCGTTTGAGACCATGTTCATTTTTGTTTGTATCTCTAGGGACTGATACAGAGCTTGGTCTCTGTGTAGGCAGTGAGTCCTTAAATATTCCTTGAATAGCACTGCTCCAAATAAGGGATCACTGACTGGATCTAAAGCATTTCTATGAATGTGCGATTTTACCATTAAAGTTTGATAGCCCTTATCCCCCAGTAACTGAGAAGTCTGATTCTCTTACCACCAAGGGAACAGCTGCAAGGCAAAACGCACTGGGCAGTCAGACTCCAGATACAAATTCTAAGTGCGAAAACTCAGATGCTTGAACATAAGAAATCTCTTTAGGCATCCATCTCTTAGAGCCTGGCTACCCTTACTTTATAGAAAATGCTACATCTGGTCTTTAAACTGGTAAGCTATGAGAAATGGTACATCAAAAGGAGAAAACAGACTGAAAAGTGAGAGCAGCACTATAAAAAAATCAGAGTTAAAAATATGCAAACTAACAAATGCTAATCAGACTTTCCACAGTGGACATATTCTGTGTACCTGCTGCCTCACACACTGCTCAGCGGCCACATGTGGCTATTGAGCACTAGAAATGAATGAGAATGAGAAACCGAATTTTCATGTCACTTACTTTTAGTTAATTCATCTTTACATGTATATAGCTACATGTGGGTAGAATGCAGAGTCACTGCAGGCTCAGACCACCATACAGGGCAAATAGCTGAGAACATCTCTACTGGCCCAGAAGGACCTGGTGCATGACAGTCCCCAAACAGGTATCAGTCACAATGATGACTCCTCTAGCAGCCACAGACCAAACGGGCTGCACTCAGCAGCCATCATTTGGGAAGGCAGGGTGCATACAGAATATTGCAGGAAGATGTTTGTTCAAATTGAATAAAATAAAACTAGGCCTCCTGGAAAACTTCACTCTTCTGTACGGGTTTGTGCTCTGACACATATTGTGCACAGGAAGTACTTGAGCTTTCCTACTGATCGGCACACCCCACTTCTCCTCTGTTCTCATCTCCTTGCTTCTCACTCTCCTATTTCAAAAGATAGTTCATGAAAACAGACCCTAAGCACACAAAACTAGTGATAGGTTCACAGTAACACCTACCCTGAAATTCCTGTTCCTAAATGCAGCCCACTCGCAAGCTTAGCCCTCTCAGCTTCTTTTGTTTTCTCCTCATTTTCACAGTGTTTAGCATCATCCAGTCGTACTCACTCTGATAATGTAAGCTACCTGGGAGATAAAAACTTTTGTCTATTGTATTCATTGATGTTTCTGACCAGCTAAACGACGCCTAGCATATACAGGTGATATACACACATATGAAGGCACACACATGCACAAGCACACACATAAAATGAACAAACAATGACAAGAAGCCCCATCCCTTACCACCCTTCACTTCTGAGATCTGTATATTTGTGTAGGTCAGAATAATCGATGACAGTAACAGCTACATTTCAGTGTCTATCATTTATTATGATGTTCACAGCAGCTCTGCAAAGTAGTTTTTATGTGGATTCCAAGGCGCCAAGAATTAAGCTCATACAAGTACTAGGCATTGAAGCTGAGATTTGAATTATTCGCTATTTGCATCCAAGGGTCATGCTCTTCCTATTAACTGTATTTACTGTTCTCTCATAAATTTAAAATACATCCAAAAACAGCTCAGTATTTTCCTATTAAGAGGAATAAAAAAGGAAAAAGAAACAGCTACATAAATGCAGGCCTAAGTTGTCAGTTATTAGTTATTTCCAGGATTCTGCTCATAAATCTGGATGCTGTTATCACTCGAGGTCCCAGCCTATTCACAGAGAACCTTGGGGAGGGCAGAGCCTTGTTCTAGGACAAGAATCAGCAGACTTTGTTAAAGTGAGGAAAAGGATTACAGTGGTTAATTTCAGGCTAGAGTGTAGTGCTGATGCTAAAAATACTCCTAAAGTGACTATCTTAGATACATCTTATTGTGTCACAAAACATACAGAAATCCTCAGATTCCTCTTAATTTTCCACACCTAATTTTCAAAACTGATCAATTCATTTTTAAGGCACTCAGGCTGATTGTGATGGCTACTGAAATCTCCCTTCAAATCTACCACCATGGTATTGGCTCACGTTGTCCATTCCGTGGGGGTTGAGAAAGACTCTCTCCATCTCTTCTGACTTGAATTCTCCTAAGGACCCATAAGAGGATCGAGAGGGGAGAATTTTATGTTTTCTACCATTAACAGCCAAAGACTACAGACAGAAAAATGTGTCTCTGGGGCTCAATTCTATACAGTATGTTTGAAGAAGTTAATTCCCTGATTTCAGAAGAAGATTTAACTCCAAGCAGGAAACAGGCTAGCCCTACCCAAAAGGAAGCCTAGCTTCTCGCTTTTATCACATAATATCTACCAGGTGTACTGTGCAAGATAACTAAGTCCTTAGATGACTGGCCCTTCTTGAGCTCAGTTATGCAGAAGGAAGTTGCTCTTGGAAACTCAACGTTTTGGCCTTAAGTGGTAAGGAAATTGCAAATTCATAGCAAAGCAGATAAAAGAACATCAGGGCACTGATTTCTTGAGGGTCC